GATCTTTGTGATATGTGTTAACCCCCCCCTTTTTTTTTCCTGCATGTATTGTTTCCTTGTTGGATCTATGACTTGCAAATATTTTCTCCAGCTCTATAGGTTGTCTCTGCACTTTATGATGTCCTTTGACATACAAAATTTTATAATTTTGGTGAAGTCCAGTTTATCTGTTTTTTCCTTTTGGCACTAGTGCTTTTCATGTCATGTTTATGAAATCACTGCCAAATCCAGTGTCCTGAATACTTTCTTTTTGTTTTGTTTTTAAGTTTATTTATTTATTTTGAGAGAGAGAGAGAGAGAGAGAGAGAGAGAGAGAGAACGAGCAGGGGCGGGGCAGAGAGAATGGGAGATAGAATCCCAAGTAGGCTCTGTCCTGTGTCCTGTCAGCACAGAGCCTGACGCAGTGCTCCGACTCAAGAACGGAGTCGAAACCAGGAGTCGGATGCTCAGCTGATTGAGCCACCCAGGCGCCCCTCCTCAGTACTTTCTTCTAAGAGTTTTATAGTTTTAATTCTTAAGTTTAGATCTTTGATCCGTTTTGAATTCATTTTGTATAATAAGGTAAGGGTCTAACTTCATTTTTTTTTACATATGGATATCCAGTTTTCCCAGCACCATTTCTTAAAAGACTATCCTTTCTGCATCCAATTGTCTTGGTTCTGTTGTTGAAAATCAATTGACCGTGTGTGTGAGGGTTTATTTCTGGGCTTTCTATTCTCTTCTATTCTGTTGGTCTATACGTTGGACCTTATGTCAATGCCATAGTATTTTAATCTCTGTAGCTTTGTAAATTTTGAAGTCAGGAAGCTTAAGTCCTTCAGTTTATTATTTTTCAAGGTAGTTTTGGCTTTTTGGGACCCCTTGCAATTCCATATGAATTTCAGAATCAGCTTTTCCATTCTTGTGAAAAAAAGGTGTTGGAATTTTCTTAGGGACTGTTAAACATGTAGATTGGTTTGGATAGTATTGACATCTTAATGGTGTTAAATCTTCCTATCCATGAACACGGGATGTCTTTCTATTTATTTAGATCTTTAATTTCTTTCAGCAGTGTTTTGTAGTTTTCAGTGTACAAGTCTTTTTTTTTCCCCCCTTGGTTGGATTCCTTCCTTAAGTATTTAGTTCTTTTGGATGCTATTATTATAAATGGAATTAACTTTCTTAATTTTTTCTTTTGGATTGTTCATTGCTGATGTATAGAAACACAGCTGATTTTTATGTGTTGATTCTGTGACCCTGCAACTTTGCTTAACTTATTAGCTCTAGGAGCTTTCTTGTGGATTCTTTGCAATTTTCTAATATACAGGTTCGTGACATCTGCAAGTAGAGATGGATTTTTACCTCTTCCTTTCCCATTTGAATAGCTCCGGCCAGAACTTCTGGTACAGCATTGAATAGCAGTGATAAAAGGGAGCATCCTTATCATGTTCTGGGTCTTTCTTTCACTATTGAATTTGATGTTTTTAGCTGTAGGTTTTTCATAAATACCCCTTATCATTATGAGGAATTTTCTCTCTATTCCTAGCGTCCTGAGCGTTTTTATCAAGAAAAAGTGTTGCATTTTATCAAATACCTCTTCTGTGCTAAGTGAAAAAATCCTCCCTCTTTCCTTTGTTCTATTAATGTTATGTTACATTGACTGATTGTCTTATATTGAACCACTCTTGCATTCCTGACATAAATTTGCATTTGTTCATGGTGAACAATCCTTTTAATAGTTGTTGGGTTCAATTTGCTAATATTTTGTTGAGGATTTTTACAGTTATAAAAAGGGTATTCTTGATCTGTTCTCTTTTTCTTTTGTGAAAACTCTTGTGAATTTTCTTTTCCTGTGATGTTGTTACCTGATTTTGGTATCAGGATAATGTTGGTGTCGTAGAATGAGTTAGGAAGTGTTCTTTACTTTTTTGGGAGTTTGAGAGGAAACGGTGTTCATTTGTCATTAAATATTTAATGGAATTCACCTCTAAAACCATCTGGTCCATGGCTTTTCTTTATTGGGAGACATCTTTACGTCTTTGACTAGGGAATATTGAGGTGGCAATGTTGAAATATGCTTTTAATTTTTCTTTAAGATATGAAGTCTTCTTCCTCAATAACGTTTGTTTTGAAAACTGAGGGCTCAAGTTGGAATAAATAGCTAAAAATCACACAGTTGTTAAAGGCTATCTTTGTTTACTTTAATACATGCTACAGATTTTCTTATCCTACATTAGGATAACAGTCAGTTAAGCATCCAACTCTTGATTTCAGCTCAGGTCATGATCTTGCAGTTCGTGAGTTTGAGCCCTGCATCAGGCTTCATGCTGATAGTACAGATCCTGCTTGGGATTCTCTCTCTCTCCCTCTGTCTCTCTGCCTCTCCCACATGTATTCTCTCTCTCTCTCTCTCTCTCTCAAAATAAGTAGACTTAAAAAAGAATTATGATATAATCTCTCATTTCCTTATTTTTCATAAACAAGTGTTTTCAATTTTATGGACTTTTATAAACATTGATATATTGTAGATCATATTGTAGGATGTTATACTCATAGTTTCTAGTTGGTGCTGTCAGTGTATATATTCAGTGCTCTGCTCTAAAAATAATACATAATAGCTGAATAGCTTCTATAAACATAAAATCCAGGTATTTCTCAAAATTCAAATTATTTCTGTTTTTGAAAAGTAGGTTATGAAGTGAGACTCTTTATAATTGGAATGTACCAAATTTTGGGTATTTTTGGAAAGCTAAATGCCAAATGCTTATGTCAGCATCATTTCTAGCACTTTCGACATGACTTTGTTCGTACTCATTTAGTCACAATCAATGAATCATGTACATTACCATGCTGTCCAGTCAGTATAACAATGTCAGCTATCAGGCGCCTGGGTGGCTCAGTTGGTTAAGCCTCCAGCTTCGGCTCAGGTCATGATCTCATGGTTTGCGGGTTCGAGCCCCACGTCGTGCTCTGTGCCGACAGCTTAGAGCCTGGAGCTGGCTTCAGATTCTGTATCTCCTTCTCTCTCTACCCCTCCCTCGCTCATGCTCTGTCTCTCTCTCTCTCTCTGTCAAAAATAAATAAAACGGTAAAAAAAAAAAAGCTTTACGATAGGGCTTGCCATTGTTAAATTTCCTGGTGAACTAATACAGAACATTATTTTGCTGTTATCTATCTACTATTATTATTACTATTTCTACTGAAAGATAGAATGTGGACTGGTGAGAAAAGGATGGATTAACTCTTAATGATTGTAATCATTTATTTTAAAATAAAATAATAATTAAATGATTTTGATTTGGTAAAACATATCACAGTATTCAAAAATTTAAAAACTTAACAGGATTTAAAGTCTCTTTCCCATAACTGTTACCCAGCCACCCATTTCCCTTCCCTGAAAGTAAATAATATTATAAAAGTAGACTGGTGTATTTAAACTTTGAATGGAGTGTGCCAAAGTATCTGTCAGCCTTCTTTTTTTTGTGCCATTCTTGGACCTGGTGAGAACCTTTCATTATCTTTTCCTATGTCATTTGTTTTTCTTGTTTAATGTAGGTTGGTTTCCTTATAGTTGGTAAGATGAGCTGTCATAGAACCTTAAAAACATGAAGCTAATAAAACAGTGAAGTCAATATCTGTATTAAAGTCATAACTTCGCCATAAAAAAGTAAACCCCTCGTGCTTGGAAGGGACATTAATACAGCCCTTCAGAATCCAGGTTGATTCTTAGTTCAGTCCTGGTCAGCGTTGAGTCTCGGATAAATTTCCAGGCCCCTATTTACGCCACAGCAAGCACATGGGAATTTGATGTCTTCATATTTCAGGCTGGATTTGACTCGAATTTATGTTTGCTTGGGTTCTTTCTTTCTTTTTTTTTTT